GACATATAGTAGGTGTACATATTTATGGGATACACAAGACGTTTTGACACCAGCATGCAATGTGTAATAGCCATGTCAGAAGAACGTGGCATCCAGCCTCTCAAGCACGTATTCTTTGTGTTAGAAATAATCCAATTATGGCCGGGCGCGGTGGCTCAAGCCTGTAATCCCAGCACTTTGGGAGGCCGAGGTGGGTGGATCACAAGGTCAAGAGATCGAGACCATCCTGGTCAACATGGTGAAACCCCGTCTCTACTAAAAATACAAAAAATCAGCTGGGCATGGTGGCTCGTGCCTGTAATCCCAGCTACTCAGGAGGCTGAGGCAGGAGAATTGCCTGAACCCAGGAGGCGGAGGTTGCTATGAGCCGAAATTGCGCCATTGCACAGCCTGGGTAACAAGAGCGAAACTCTGTCTCAAATAAATAAATAAATAAATAAATAAATAAATAAATAATCCAATTGTACTATTTACTTATTTTAAAATGTGCCATTATTATTGACTATAGTCACTCTGTTGTGTCATCAGATACTAGGCCTTCTCCATTCTGTTATTTATTTTTATCTTTGTTTTTTTAAAGATGGGGTTTCACCGTGTTTGTCAGGCTGGTCTTGAACTCCTGACCTCAGGTGATCCGCCTGCCTTGGCCTCCAAAGTGCGTGGATTACAGACCTGAGCCACCATGCCCGGCCACGTATTCTGTTATTTTTTACTCATTAACAACCCCCATTTTCCCCTACCTACCCCCGACTCCCCTTCCCAGTCTCTTCCCCATCCTTCTACTCTCTATATCCGTGAGCTCCATTGTTTTGATTATTAGATCCCACAAGTAAGTGAGACTATGTGGTGTTTGTCTTTCTGTGCCAGTTTATTTCACTTTACATAATGTCCTCTAGTTCCATCCATGTTACTGGAAACAGTAGGATCTCATTCTTTTTGATAGCTGAATAGTATTCCATCATGTACATGTACCACATTTTCTTTATCTGTTTGTCTGTTGAACAGGCTTTTGGTTTTTTAAATGTTTTCTCATTTCCATACATCACTTTTTTTTCTTTTTTTTTGAGACAGAGTCTTGCTCTGTAGCTCAGGCTGGAGTGTGGTGCAATGACATCGGCTCACTGCAACCTCTGCCTCCCGGGTTCAAGCAATTTTCCTGCTTGAGTCTCCTGAATAGCTGGGGTTACAGACATACACCATCATGCCTGGCTAATTTTTGCATTTGTGGTAGAGACAGTGTTTCACCATGTTGGCCAGGCTGGTCTTGAACTCCTGATTTCAAGTGATCCACTTGCCTTGGCTTTGCAAAGTGCTGAGATTACAGGAGTGAGCCACTGTACCTGGTTGCATTAGTTGTTTAAGAGCAAAATGTTTTCAAATCTAACGAACCTTAAAAAGAACCTCAAGAAGTTTCTAGCTATGAACTACATGTAAACAAAAGCAAAAATCATATAATAAATACTTGATAATCTAAATTGAACTTTAAAACCTCTATATGTGAAAACATATTCGAAAGGTAAAAATGGAGATGAGGGGGCCGGGTGCGGTGGCTCAAGCCTGTAATCCCAGCACTTTGGGAGGCCGAGGCGGGTGGATCACGAGGTCGAGAGATCAAGACCATCCTGGTCAACATGGTGAAACCCCGTCTCTACTAAAAATACAAAAAATTAGCTGGGCATGGTGGCACGTGCCTGTAATCCCAGCTACTCAGGAGGCTGAGGCAGGAGAATTGCCTGAACCCAGGAGGCAGAGGTTGTGGTGAGCTGAGATTGCACCATTGCACTCCAGCCTGGGTAACAAGAGTGAAACTCCGTCTCAAAAAAAAAAAAAAAAAAAAAAAAAAAAAAAAAAAATGGAGATGAGGAAAATTTCTCATTCCTTAGTTCTGACTCCAGAATGGGTGTGCTGACCATAAAATAAATCAGGAATATTTTAACATGTGTGACACTTGAATGTTAATGTCTTTAATATATTAGGAGCCTTAACTAACCCAGAAGAAAAATATAAACACCCCAAACAGAAAAATAGTTAAAGGACTTGAGTGAACAGGTACTCACAAAAGAAGAAAAACAATTGCTCAGTACATATATAAAAAATGTCTAATCTTGCCAATTAGCAAAGAAAAATAAATTAACACAAAACATTTTCTACCTATCAGAATAACAGGTGATAATTTGACAAAATAATAATGTTCTATTACCCAAAAATTCTACCTCTATCAACTAATCTTAAAGAAATTAGCATAAGTGTGGGAAATTTTTATCAGATGGACCTGAATTTCAACAGTGTTCCAAGTTACAGGAAAACAAGGTCAGATACAATCTGTGTGTTCACCAAGAGGGACCTGACCAAATCAGTGATGGCCCAAATCATTCCATGGAATAAAAGGTAGCCATTAAAATCATAATCGGTCTGGGCATGGTGGCTTATGCCGGTAATCCCAACACTTTGGAAGGTGGAGGCAGGAGGATCACTTGAGTCCTAGAGTTCAAGACCAGCCTGGGCAATATAGCAAGACCCTGTTCCTATAAAAAATGTAAAAAATAGCTGAGTGTGGTGGTGTGCACCTGTAGACCCACCTACTTGGGAGGCTCAGGTGGGAGGATTGCTCGAGTCTAGGAATTGGAGATTACAGTGAGCTATGATGGTGCCACTGCACTCCAGCCTGGGCAGCAGAGCAAGACTTCCTCTTTCAACAAAATGAAAATAAATGAAAAGAAAAAGAAATAATTAAAGGAAAAACAAGCTGGTTCCATCTGTAAGGATGGGAGTTGAGGTAGGATCAACACTGAAAACCGATCAGGCGGGTTTGGTCAGTGCTGGCTGTCACCCCCGGGAAGCGCTGCTCATTTCAGTTTTGCCTTCCTCCCTGTGGGCTGCTGGCCACACCTGTCCTCAGCATCCCTTTCTCAAACTCTGGGAGCAGGAGATTTCGGCAATGCTATGGGTTGGTCATGCCATGATATTTTTTCCTGGGAATAGCTGAGATAACCCAGTGAAATCCTGTTCTGGCAGCTGTTCTGTGCCAGGCACCCTGCCAGTCACTGGGAGGGACACAGGAATAGGTCACAGTCACCGTCTTGGTCACAGAGTTCTTATTGCAAACAATAGAACTTGCTCTAGATGGTTGAGCTGGAAAGTGATTTATTAGAGAATTCGAGCCTCTGCTAAAGGCCAGAGGCACCGGCTTTGTTGGCACAAGGTCAGATAGAGCACTGAAACCACACTGCTGCACGGCTCCAGCACGACCACCCTGCTGCCAGTCACAGTCACGGCCCCTGTGTACTGACACTGCACACGGGGCTCCAGAAACCCTTGCCCTGAGAGCCAGAACCCTCCACACCATTATTCCAGGGAGATTCTGCGTGATTCCAGTGTCCTTGAACCCTCTGTGAAGAGGCCTTGCTGAGATGAGAGTGTTTGTGGAGCTGAGGTTCATGCTTGTGCCCTGCAGGCAAGGAGGTGAGGGCGGCAAGTCCTAGCCACTCCCAAAGTAAGGGAGAACTTTCCACTTCACACTGAGGCAAGCTCTTGAAACTTGTAGTTTTAAAGAAACCAAGGGGCTACAGTGCATGACGAATGTGCCCCTATTTCCGGGAACTTAGAGTCGATGCCCACTTCAGTCTCATGCAGGTGAAGGCAGAAGTGTGTGGCCCCCGTGGTGAGTGGGGAGGCAGCCAGACAGCACTACAGCTCTTCCAGGAGCAGGAGAGTGACCCCAGGCTGTGTTACAGGTGGTGGGGCTGATTTTAGGAGGGTAGAGGATGGTGCTGGAAAGGGTCACTGTGGCCAGTTCAGAGCTTCAAGGACCCCCTGGTTAGGAGCGTGAACTCTCATCTGTGGGCAGAGGGAAGTCAGGGTCAAATTTCTGGAACTGTAGCAAGTTGTGGTGGGGAGCGGGCAGACTTTTTGGGATAAAATTGTGTTATCAGCTCAACTGCATCCCCCCAAATTCATAGGTTTAAGTCCTAAGGCCCATTATCCCAGAATGTGACTGTAATGGTGACAGGGGCTTTAAAGAGGGGACTTAAGTAAAATGAGATAGTTGGAGTGGGCGCTAACCCAATACGGCTAGTGTCCTTCTAAGAAGAGGAAATTCAGACACACAGAGACACCAGGGGTGCGTGCCATGTAAGAGGCAGCAAGAGCCTGGCCTTCTGCAAACCAAGGAGAGAGGCCTCAGAGGAAAACGAGCCTCCCCAACGGCCCGACCTCACATTTCTAGTCTCCAGAACTGTGAGCAAAGACGTTTCCTTAGTCAAAGCCACCCAGTTGCGGTGTTCTGTTGTGGTGGCCAGAGCAAACGGATAAAGTAGTCAGTCCCTCCAGCACGCTTGGAGGTTCCGCTTGTTGCTGTTCCCCAAGGCCATCCTGGCCATGACGAGGGCAGGGGCGGTTGTTTGGGAGGAGACCGCGGTGGAAGGAAGAGAAGGAAGGCTTGCTTGATGCAGCAGGGAGCAGACTCCGGATTCAAGGAGGGCTCTACAAAGGTCCGGCGATTGAGCTTGTCAGGGAAACCTGAGCTGTGTGTAGGTCTTGCTCTCTTGTGCCCTGCAGGATGGCTTGACCCTTTTCTGTTCTCATGCCAGACCCTAAGGGCAGTGTCAACTGGGCCACAGACACAGGCCTGGTGTGCCTCGTGGGCTATTCTTCTGCCTTCAGGAAGCCCACCTTCACCTCCTGGCTGTTGTGACTGGCATCCCTGAGGCTCTGTTTCTTTGTGTGTGAAATTAAATACGGACATGTCACATGTCATATGCTAGCAACCCACAAGCACAGAGCAAAGGCTCAGCAAAGAGTTCTCTCCTCCTCTGCATTTTTAGGTCAGGAGCAAATGCAGATCAGGTTGGGGACAAGGTAAACAGGTAACTGGGGTGGAGATCTGACTGATTAGTAACTCATAAATCATCTGAAACCATACTTTCCTGTTAATAGTCAACCCTCTGTAAACACGAAATGTGTTTCCACCTTGTTATCATTCCCAATGATGTCAAATGCGTGGTTGCCTCTCCGGTATATAAGTTTGATGCGACTTTTCCTGGATGCACCTGCCTATAGGAGTCCTGGTCGTCACGATGGTAGGTAACTGGTTTTATATGTGAAGGCCAGAAAACCAAAAAAGAATATGTATTCCTTATTGAATATGCTGTGATGTGTGCTTCTACTGCACAGCACTGAAAGGTAAATGTGACCTGGTTAGGAATCTTTTGTTATTACCTGCAATTCAATGTTCAGAGTATAAGAGTCTGGGAACTTGGGAAATTTTTAATGAATTTAGCAGTAGTTCTATTCTCTAAGATCTAAGTTGTTTTTCCTTCCTGTAATGAGATTTCATAGGTATCTCTAATTCTTGGGTTCTATGTGAGTAATTTGTGAAATTAAAAATAATTTCAGGTCGGGCACAGTGGCTCACGCCTGTAATCCCAGCAATTTGGGAGGCTGAAGGGGGAGGATCACAAGGTCAAGAGATCGAGACCATCTTGGCCAACGTGGTGAAACCCTGCCTCTACTAAAAATACAAAAGATTAGCCAGGTATGGTGGTGCTTGCCTGTAGTCCCAGCTACTCAGGAGGCTGAGGCAGGAGAATTGCCTGAATCCAGAAAATGGAAGTTGCAGTGAGCCAGCATCGCACCACTGCACTCCAGCCTGATGATACAGCAAGACTGTCTCAAGAAAAAAAAAAATAAAATAAAAAATAATTTCAGAGCTACATGACTGAATTATTTTTGAGATGAAGGATCTGAGCCTGGAGAGGGGAAGAAACTGCCAGTGGAGTCTCACCACAAGCCTGTGAATAAGCTGAGATAGGAACCCAGGCATCCCTCTCTCCCTGCCAGGAGCTCCCAAACTTGCCTGTGCAGTGGAACCCTCTGGGGAATTTTGAAGAACACTGACACCTGGCTCCCACCCCAACATTCTGATTTAATTGGGCTGCAGTGGGAGCAGGAAATCAATTTTAAAAGCTACCCAGGTGATTTTAATGCTCATTCAAGTTTGAGAACCGTTTCCCTAGGCCCTTTTCACTGTATCTTGTGTTAAGGAAGCATCTTTGGTTTTGCGAGCTTTATTTGTTTGTTTGTTTTTGAAGACAGGATCTCACTCTGTCACCCAGGCTGGAGTGCAGTGGTGCAGTCAGGATATTTACTGAAGGCTCAACCTTCTTGCGCTCAGGTGATCCTCCCACCTTAGCTTCCTTAGTAGTTGGGACCACAGGCCGGCCACCATGCCCAGCTAATTTTTGTATTTTTTCTAGAGACAGGATTTTACTATGCTGCCCAGGCTGGTTTTGAACTCCTGGGCTCAAGCAATCTGCCCACCTCAGTCTCCCAAAGTGCTGGGATTACAGGTGTGAACCACTGTCCCCAGCTAAGAAAGACCTTTGCTTCAAAATTTATAAAAACCCATGCAGGCTTTTCTTGTGTCTTAAACTTGATCTTTCTTAAGATGTTCTTTACTAACACCAGGGAAAGAGCTGGGCTGCTCTCAGAGCTGCAAGGGAGATGAGGCAAGAAGCAGCCAGCCGAGTGGGAGGAACCAGGGAGCGATTCCTAAGAGCAAACCCTGGGCCTCCTCTGGGTCACGCCGAAAGACAAACGTGCTCTCAGAAACTGTCCCGAAGTAGAACTGGGGAGTGAGGGGGTTCTCCCCTTCTCCTCTGGACTGCCTCCTCCCGCCATGCGGCTTCACAGGGACTTAGCAAGCTGCACCGCTGGCAATACCCCTGCCTGCCTACGATCCTGAGGATCCCCAAGTATATTTATTAAGGTAAATTTTTTATTTTTTTTTATTTTTTAAGTAGAGATGAGTTCTTGCCATGTTGCCTAGGCTGGTCTCTAACCACCTCCGCCTCCCAAAGTCCTCGGATTACAGGCATGAGCCATTATGCCTGGCCAGAAACGCAACTCTTCGTCATGGGTTAAGACCCTTTCAGGAGCAGTAATTTACCTAAAGAGACACAAATTCTAAGAGCACTGCCAGTCTGCTTCACCTCAAGGCTGACCATGAAGCTGCACCATCTAGAAAACCCTAGCCCATGCTGGCATGGTGGTGTACACTCCTGTGTCTGCACACATCAGGGGCTCATGGTTACTAAATGCAGGAAAGGAAGACACGAAGGGAGGGAATGCTGGTGGCAGAAGAGAAGACAAGAATGAAAAGGAGCTTTAGAGCCTCTCTACTCAGGGGTGGGCCTCAGACCAGCAGCATGGGCGTCACCTGGGAGCTTCCGTGTAAGTCTGTAGACCTACTGAAGCAGAATCTGCATGTTATTGAATAAGCTCTCTGGTCGGGCGCGGTGGCTCATGCCCATAATCCCAGCACTTTGGGAGGCGGAGGTGGGCAGATCAGTTAAGGTCAGGAATTTGAGACCAGCCTGGCCAACATAATGAAACTCCATCTTTACTAAAAATGCAAAAATTAGGCAGGCATTGTGGTGCACACCTGTAATCCCAACTATTCGGGAGGCTGAGGCAGGAGAATCGCTTGAACCCGGGAAGCAGATGTTGCACTGAGCCGAGATTGTGCCGCTGCACTCTAGTCTGGGTGACAGAACAAGACTTCATCTCAAAAGAAAAAAAAAAGGCCGGGCACAGTGGCTCAAGCCTGTAATCCCAGCACTTTGGGAGGCTGAGGCGGGTGGATCACAAGGTCGAGAGATCGAGATCAACCTGGTCAACATGGTGAAACCCCATCTCTACTAAAAATACAAAAAATTAACTGGGCATGGCAGCGTGTGCCTGTAATCCCAGCTACTCAGGAGGCTGAGGCAGGAGAATTGCCTGAACCCGGGAGGCGGAGGTTGCGGTGAGCCGAGATCACGCCATTGCACTCCAGCCTGGGTAACAAGAGGGAAACTCCGTCTCAAAAAAAAAAAAAAAAAAAAAAAAAGAAGAAGAAAGAAAAAAAAAACCTCCCAGGAATTTGTATGCACATTAAAGCAGCACTGGGTTGAGCATTGTTCTTGGGTTCTCACCTGGGTAAAGATACGGAGGCACTGGCTGTTTCTTTCTTCAATGAGCCTGAGATTGTGTGTTTCCTATTTGCTCCCTGGGTAACTCTAATGCTTACCCAAGTGGGAGAACCCCTCTTTTTACAGGGGAGGAAACTGAGCTTGAGAGAGAGAGAGAGAAAGAGAGTCAGTGTCAGGCTATTTCTGAGATACTGTCAAGTGCGAAATCTCTTAATGAAATAATTTTCTCTCTGCTGTCACCATGTTTGGACTCCATCCCCAGTTGTTCAATCTCGTGCCTTTGCTCTAGAGCTGTGGGAGATCTGGGGATTTTGCACATGTCACTTGTCCTGGGCTGCAGCCCTGCTTGTCCCTGTTGACTCTCCTGCTTTGTGACCCAGTGAACAGGATCTCCAAGATTCTAGAGATCCTCAGTGCCCCTGGAGCCCTCTTTCTGCAAGAAGGGAGTGAAAATACTGTCAACAAGGCTGGCTTTTTTGGGGAAAAAAGTTTAGGTTTCCACAACGATTTTGAGTGGAAGGTTATGCAAAAGAAGAATGAAACAGATTAAGTGCCACTCCAAGTCCTGGCTTGAGCTGAATATATCGAGGTTTTGAGTTGTTTTTGAAGAATTTCTTTCTTTCTCTCTCTTTCTTTCTTTCTTTCTTCTTTCTTTCTAGCTATAAATGCCATACATTTTATTGTAGAAAATTTAGAAAATAAGAGGATAGTCCAAAGAAGAAAACTGTCATAATCCCAGCGTTCAAAGATGACTTGTTATTTGGTAAAAACCTTCAGTGTGTTCTGAGTATCTCTCTCTGCGTCATGGGAATCACACATTTCATAGCCTGCTTCACTTCATGTAATGACATGTGATCATTTGCTCAGGTGACTTCACCTTCTACCTTGCTGGCTCACCAGGTGTTTTTCTGAGTCACTGTTCTCCACCAGCTCTGTTCTTGGGCACTTGGTTTCTTTCCACTTTTTCCACTGCAGTGAGCATTTTTGTGGAGGAGTCCATCTGTGTCTCTGTGCCATTTTTAGGGTCACATCTTGGAGATAAAAAGGTGAAATCAAATATTGTAAATGGTTTTAAGTATGTGGATCTATAGTAGCAAATTGCTCCCATAACAGTTGTTCAAAGTAAGTCATCCTTGTGCATATCACTTCCTATAGATGCCTCTATTTCCCTCTGGGCATTATAAATTCAGTGATTATTCTTGACATCTCATTATGTTTCTGTTTAATCTACGTATTTATATTTCTTTTGTGATCAGTAACTTGAACTTTTTCATGTGTTTATTAATCACTTCTGAGTGTGTGTGCGTTTTTGCGTGTGAGAAATGCCACTTTATTTCTCTTGCTAGCTTTTTAAGATGTTTTTCAGCTGGGCGTGGTGGCTTATGCCTGTCATCCCAGCACTTTGGCAGGCTGAGTCGGGTGGATCAACTGAGATGGGGAGTTCGAGACCAGCCTGACCAGCATGGAGAAACCCTGTCCCTACTAAGAATACAAAATAGCTGGTCATGGTGGCGCATGCCTATAATCCTAGCTAGTCAGGAGGCTGAGGCAGGAGAATCCTTCGAATCTGGGAGGCGGAGGTTGTGGTGAGTTGAGATCGCGCCATTGAACTCCAGCCCGGGAAACCAGCGAAATTCTGTCTCCAAAAAAAAAAAAAAGATGGCTTTTTAAGACGGACATGGTGGCTCATACCTGTAATCCCAGCACTTTAGGAAGCCAAGGTGGGAGGAACGCGAGGTCAGGAGATCAAGACCATCTGGCTAACATGGTGAAACCCTATCTCTTATAAAAATACAAAAAATTAGCAGAGTATGGTGGCACACAGCGTTAGTCCCAGCTACTCAGGAGGTTGAGGCAGGAGAATTGCTTGAACCTGGGATGTGGAGGTTGCAGTGAGCTGATTGCACCACTGCACTCCAGCCTGGGTGATGGCTCTGTCTCAAAAAAAAAAAAAAAAAGAAAGGTGTTTTTCTTCTCCCATTGATATATAATGACACTGTTCTGCAAATATGATATCATTCTAATTTCAATTATATTCTTACATTTATATTCTGAAATCTTTTTCTTTTCTTTTCTTTCTTTTTTTTTTTTTTTTTTTTGAGACGGAGTTTCGCTCTTGTTACCCAGGCTGGAGTGCAATGGCGCAATCTCGGCTCACCGCAACCTTCGCCTCCTGGGTTCAGGCAATTCTCTTGCCTTAGCCTCCTGAGTAGCTGGGATTACAGGCACGCGCCACCATGCCCAGCTCATGTTTTGTATTTTTAGTAGAGACGGGGTTTCACCATGTTGACCAGGATGGTCTCGATCTCTTGACCTTGTGATCCACCTGCCTCGGCCTCCCAAAGTGCTGGGATTACAGGCTTGAGCCACCGCACCCGGCCTATCATTTTCTTTTGTGCTTAGAATAAGTATTTACATATATAGGCTGTATTTATTTTATGATCTCATTGTAAAAATTTAACCCTTGAATCCTTTTAGAGTTTATTTCACTAATGGGGACTCAAGTAGGAAATTAACTTTGTTTCTTCCCCAAATAGTTCAACATTTGTTCTAATACCATTTATTGAATAATTCCTCTCCACAGATCTCAAAGACCATGTTTATTTTATAATAGGCTTCTACATATATTTATACTTTCTGGTTTTCTAATTTTTCTTTTTACCTTATCCAACTACCTTTGGATATTTCTGAGTTTTCTATTTTGGTCTCTGTGTTTGTCTTTTTTATTTTTAAAGACAGGGTTTCACTCTGTCACTCAGGCTGGAGTACAGTGGGGCTATCGTGGCTCAGTGCAGCCTCATCCTCCCTGGGCTCCAGCCATTCTCCCACCTCAACCTCCCAAGTAGCTGGGATTACAGGGGCACACCACCACGCCCACCTAATTTTTGTATTTGTTTTTCTGACACAGTGTTTTGCTCTTTGTTGCCCAGGATAGAGTGCAATGGCAAGATCTCTGCTCACCACAATCTCTGCCTTCTAGGTTCAAGCGATTCTCCTCCCTCAGCCTCCCAAGTAGCTGGGATTGCAGGCATGCACCACCATGCCTGGCTAACTTTATATTTTTAGTAGAGACAGGGTTTTTCCATGTTGGTTAGCCTGGTCTCAAACTCCCGACCTTGGGTAATTCACCCATCTCAGCCTCCCGAAGTGCTGGGATGACAGGCATGAGCCACCTCTCCCATCCCCTATCTGTCCATTCTTATATGAACCACATACTACTTCAAGTAGCATCACTTCAAAATTAATTTTAGGAATCTTACAGAATAAGTGCTTTCATTCCCATTGTGAAAGACAAAATCACAACATATTTAGTTTAAACATCTTAATTGACTTTTTTTTTTTTTTTTTTTTTTTGAGATGGAGTCTTACTCTGTTGGCAAAGCTGGAGTGCAGGGGCACAATCTTGGCTCACTACAACCCCTGCCTCCCGGGCTCAAGTGATTCTCCCCCTCAGCCTCCTGAGTGGCTTGGATTACAGGTGCATGCCACCATGCCCAACTAATTTTTTGGTATTTTAGTAGAGAACAGGTTTCACCATGTTGCCCAGGGTGGTTTCAAACTCCTGAGCTCAGGCAATCCACTTGCCGAGGCCTCCCAAAGTGCTAGGATTACAGGCATGGGCCACCACGCCTGGCCCTTGATTGACTTTTACTTGTGAATCCAGAATCTGGCAACGCCTCATTCTATAAAATAGATGAAGTGTTCTAAAGAGCTGACCAGAGAGGTTTGTCTTTATAGACAGAAAAGGGCCAGAGAAAGCAGAAACACAGAACAGAAACTGAATAGGTCTTTTTGAAGTGACTTTGCTTATAAACGTTAAAGCAGAAGGGACTTTCTTATCATGTCAGCTAAAACTGGCCTGTTGGGCATTTGGCTATTACCTCTCAGTCTCTCCTGATTTCTTAGAAGGTTGAATAAGCAACTTAGTTCTGGCTTAGTAGCAGAGAACTTCAGCATGGGCAACTGCGTTTTGGTTTTGTCGATTCGGCCTGGTGCAGGAGCTCAGTCCAAACCAATGGCCTCCTATATATTTCATTGAACACCATCTTCCCTATCAAAAGTTCCCAGAAATTAACATATTAAGGTTTGTTTTTTAGCTCATCTCAAAAGATGACAAGGTCAACTAGATACTTTTCCTTGTTCTACAATTTCAGCCTAGATTAACTGGTTTGTTCATGGAGCCATCAAAGATGCCTTTATGATCTGGGAAATGAACTTCCTAGCCTCACCGTCTGTGTTCACAGCGTGGCCCCAACCTATTTTTCCACTCATATCTCCAATGAATCCAGTTAACTACAATAAACCTTCAGCTATATATGTTTGTTGCTTCTCTTCTCTATCTTTGTTAACATTTCATTCTTTTCATGAAACTCCTCATTCTGTCCTTTAACTCTTACATATTCTGCAAAGAGGCTAAAGATTGCCTTATCTATAAAGGTCTCCTGAACTTCCTCTGCAGTGAATCAGCCCACATGTCATTACTGCCTTATGCCTGTTGACTCCTGTTTGCCTCTTTCTGTAGTTCATGCTAGTGACTTGTGTGGGTCTTGTTCCCTGACTAAGTCACCCGCGGTTAGGAGCTCCACCTCATAACCTCTCACCAGAGCCCAGCAGAGGTCCTGGTACACAGCACTCAGTAAAGGATTATCCTCTGAATTAATTCATTCTTCACCCTGACCTTTCTTCACATTACAGAACGTTCTCCTGGGCGGTCTTTTGATCTTTGCCACCTTTGTGACTTTATGCAATGGATCATGCTATGTAATACGTCATAAGTTAGCTCCAGGAGAGACAATCAAAGGTAAGTCTTGGCTTTTCAATGTTTATTATGTTATTGCAGCCTGGTAGGTGGACCTGTCTCAGATGAAAACCTTGGTGTTTGTTGTTGTTGTTGTTGGTTTGAGACAGTCTTGCCTTGCATCCCAGGCTGGAGTGCAGTGGCGAGATCTTGGCTCATTGCAACCTCCTTCTCCTGGGTTCCAGTGATTCTCCCATCTCAGCCTTCCAAGTAGCTGGGACTACAGTTACCCACCACCATGCCCAGCTAATTTTTGTGTTTTTGGTAAAGACAGGGCTTTGCCATGTTGGCCAGGCTGGTTTCGAACTACTGACCTTGAGTGATACACTTGCCTTGGCCTCCCAAAGTGTTGGGATAATAGACGTGAGCCACTGTACCTGGCCTCACCTGGGGAGTCTTGTAAGAATACAGTGGCCTGGGCCCTGCATCCAGAGATAGATTTCATTGTTTTAGGGTAGGGCCGAGACTTAAGTGTTTTTCAAGTACCCAAGATGTTTCACATGTGCACCCAGGGTTGAAAACCACCAATGCAAAGCAAAGGGAAGTGTAGAGTGAGATATCATCGAGAGAGAATCCAGCAGGAAAAACCCTGATCCCAGGTACCCCTAGGCTCCTATGGTTAACTCATTCAAGAAAAGGGCCTTCTTTTTTTCTTGAAATACCTGTTCTGAAATAAAAGTCAGAAGGATGTAAGCTTTCTGTAAGAAAACATTATCAGTAGCACGAACTCAACAGTACTGGAATTAGCCATGTGTGAATCCAAGAGCACCATTCTTCAATACCTCCAAAAGCAATGAGCTTCTCCCTCTCTGGAGGGCTGTAGATAGTAGGGGCTGGACTCAATGCTGTAATAGACTTTATTGTCATTGCATGACTTACACTGATGATGTTGTGTGTATTATTTTAGAATGCACGGATCTCAAAGGAAACAAACACCCGCTAGACTCAAGATGGCGGACTGAAGACTGTGAGCTATGTGCTTGCCGTGACATAGAAATATCATGTTGCTCCCTGTAAGTCTCAAGCCAATACGAGCCAAGAGGGGGACATAGAACAGATTCTCCCTCTTGCAAAATTCCATCCCTTATGGGTTTAGTTTCTGTTTTAGTTTTTTATAGACTTTAGAGGGTAGTTTTAGATTCACAGCAAAACTGAGCAGAGGCACAGAAATTTCACATATGCCTCCCACCCTTACACATGCATGACCTCCCCCGACATCAACATCGCCCACCACCGTCGGCGTATTTGTTATGACTGATGAATCTACATGACACATCTTTATCACTGGAGTCCATGGTTTATGTTAGGGCTCACTCTTGATGTTGTGGTAGTGGAGGGTTACTTTTCAGTCCTATTTCTTTCTTTTTAAAAAATTGTGGTAAAATATACATAAGATAAAATGTTCCATATTAACAGTTTTAAATGTACACTTTAGCAGCATTAAGTACTTTCTCATTGTTGTGGCATCACCACTGTCCACCTCCAGAACTTGCTCACCCTGCAAAACTGAAGCTCTGTACCCATTAAGCAGTCTTGCTCCATTCCCCTCCCAGGCCCTGGCAACCACCATTTTACTTTCTGTCTCTATGATTTTGACTGCTCTAGGTCCCTCATATAAGTGGAATCACACAGTAATTGCTTTTTTGGGACTGGCTCATTCACTTAGCATAATGTCCTCACGGTTCCTCTGTTTTGTAGAATGTGTCTGAATTCCCTTCCTGTCCGAGGCTGATTCATGTTCTGCTACATGAAGAGACCGCATTTGGCATCTCCATTCATCTGTTGATGAACGCTTGGGTTGTTTTCCACCTCAGTCTCATTTCTGTTGTTTCTGAAATTTGATTAGTAGCTTTATTCCAGATGGGCTCCCGAAGACAGGAGAGAGTATCCAGTGGTCTGATGCTATTCTAGAGATTGGCCTGGTCATCCCTTCAGCCTTGGCCTTGTAGATTTGCAAAAACAGCAGTGACTCTGATCATAGGCAGTGGATTAGATGTGAGGGGTAAGGGAGGATCTGTAGTGTGCCTTGCAATGTAAAACTCATGCTGCTTCTCTCTTCAAGTTTACCTCACGTCAGCTGAAAGGCTATGCAGATGTTTTCTGCTGAGTTGCTATGGATTCCAGACAGAACACAGAGTACCCTTAGTGTGGTCCCAATTTACCTGTTTCCTCAGCAACTGTGTCCATACCAGCCAACTGACTCCCAACCCCTCAAGTCCATCTAACCTCTTCATGTAGCCTTAACTTGTAGTGTTTTGCAGGAACAGGAGTGGATCTGATGGCAGAAGCACTGGCATCAAGGGGCATTTGCCAAGCTTGTCTGATCACAGACTCACCTGGGAAGCTTGATGAAATACAGATTCCTGTGCTCCATCCCAGAACTGACTGATCAGAGTCTGTAGGGAAGGGGCCACGGAATCTCAATTTTAACAGGTGCCTTGAGAGTCTTATGAGGACACCATGAGTAGAGAAGCAAGCACTTGACTTAGATCAGAACACCTGAGTCCGACTGAACTTGAGGTGTCTGGAGAGTTCCAACCACATTTATTAAGCAGGCCCCATGCTAGGTGCCTAATGGAACAAGAGGAATTGGACTCGGAGTTGTCTAGCTGCTCAGAGCAGACTCCCAGGGATCGCATTGACTGGGTCACTGAGTATTACAGCTGAGCCTTGATTTTGTGGCTCCGGAGACTTGACATTGTCGTTATAGCAAGTGCTGATGTCACTCTGGTGGAGTGTGATTGTATCCCAGACAAGTGAAGGAATGGTGACTGGCCCCTCCCTAACATAGGAGCACAGCTCCCTGGTGGCTAAAGCATCCATGTCACCCAGATTTGCTATCCTTGACCTCTTCTAGGATTTTCCACTGTAAGCTTGGATTCTTGTGGGCCTGGTGCGGAAAAGGGCCAGGCTGCTCCTTGCAGGGAAGAGGGAGGACCCTCGATATTGGAGTCAGAGTAACTTGAGTCTGAATCTCCATTCCCTTGTATACTAGCTGGGTGAGCCTGAGTAAGTTTCTGAATGTCTCTGAGCCTCTGTTTCACAGTATAATCAGGGGTAATCAGGTGGCTCTTAGAATTAAAGGAGATTCTGCATATACATTGTTTAACCCAACAAACACTTAAAGCCTTCTCTGTGCCAATTCTGTGTCCTGTGAGCCTGGGGCAGTAACTGACACCTGGTCAGGTTTCAAGGTGCCCTTTCCTTTCTCCTGCCATGTTGCGTATTCCACTTAGCACACCGCTCCACAAGGGGGAAATGAACCACCCCTTCTTCCCTGGAATTGCCTCACTTCCTACCAAGTTTGTTTTTCTCATGAACTTTTATCTCCTCCGTGGAAAAATACAGACTTTGATAAAGCTTTTTCTGGAAGAAGTTTTTGGACCCACTGCATCCTCTACAGGACACTGCCCAGATCTCAAGGTGCTCGGTGGCAGTGGAGCCTGAGGCTGGGGGCCCAGGCAGAGGCTCCCCGGCAGGGCGTGGGAGATGTCCTGGCCTCCACGCCGCCCGGGCCCAGCCCAGGGTTGGCTCCCTGACTTGGGTGAGGAAAAGGGAGTGGGACACAAAAGGCCAAGGCCACCCGACCACTGGGTCTGGATAGCTGAACAGCTGATGTTGACAGTTTCTCCTCCCCCCCTCTCTGCTGCTTCACCTACAGAGCTAAGTCTGGTTTGAACTGAAATAAGCATCCAGTAATATGCCCTTTGCCCTATCAACTCATATTTGCACATGTGCAGCAGAGATTCACCATTTCATTTCCTACCACGAACCAAAAGAATTGTATCTCTTTGGCCAGGCATGGTGACTCATGCCTGCAATCCCAGCACTTCGGGAGTCTGAGGATGGTCGATGACCTGAGTTTGGGAGTTTGAGACTTGCCTGACCAATATGGAGAAACCGCATCTCTACTAAAAATAGAAAATTAGTCAGGTGTGGTGGTACATGCCTATAATCCCAGCTACTCAGGAAGCTGAGGCACGAGAATCACTTGAACCTGGGAGGTGGTGATTGCAGTGAACCCAGATCGCACCATGGCACTTGAACCTTCAGTGGCATTAAATACATTCACAGTATTATGCAACCATAAACACTATTTGCAAAACTTTTTAATGACTCCAACCTGAAACTATATCCAGTAAACAGTAACTCAGAGTCTCCATCCCACAAAACCCCTGGTAACCTCAAATCTACTTTCTGTCTCTATGAATTTGCCTAGTCTAGATACTTCATATAAATAGAATCACACTGTGTTTGTCTTTTTGTGTCTGGCTTATTTCACCCAGCATGTTGTCAACATTCATTTATGTCGTAGCATCTATCCGTACTCCATTCCTGTTTCTGCCGGAATAATATTCCATGGCATGGCTAGACCACATTTTGCTTATCCATTTATTTGTTGATGAACACTTGAGTTGCTTCCACCTGTTGGCTAAAGTAAGTAATGTTGTTCTGAACACTGTCAATATACAAACATTGGCATATAACGGTTGAGTCTCTGCTTTGAATTCTTTTTGGGATATATACCTGGGAGTAGCTTGCTGGGTCATATGGTAATTTTTATGACCTTATTGAGGAGCTGCCAAGCTGTTTTCCACAGCAGCGGCACCATTTTACATTCCTACCAGCCAACAATCACCTTTAAACATGAAAGGTTGGCCGGGTGCGGTTGCTCAAGCCTGTAATCCCAGCACTTTGGGAGGCCGAGGCGGGTGAATCACGAGGTCAAGAGATCGAGACCATCTGGTCAATATGGTGAAACCCCGTCTCTACTAAAAACACAAAAAAATTAGCTGGGCATGGTGGTGCGTGCCTGTAATCCCAGCTACTCAGGAGGCTGAGGCAGGAGAATTGCCTGAACCCAGGAGGCAGACGTTGCGGTGAGCCAAGATCGCGCCATTGCACTCCAGCCTGGGTAACAAGAGCGAAACTCCATCTCAAACAAACAAACAAAGAAACAAACAAACAAACAAAAAAAGGTTTTAAATGACATTTCCCCCAATTTTCTAAGTAAAACATATGAATTATAGAACCATTGGAGAGTATAAGAGAAAAAAGAAAAACCTACTAATTCTGACTGCTTAAAGGTAATAATTGTTAACATTCTATCATATTTATTTATTTGTATTAAAGAATTGAGACAGTCTCACTATGTTGCCTGGGCTGGTCTCAAACTCCTGGGCTCAAGCTGTCCTCTCACCTCAGCCTCCTAAGTAGCTGGGATTACATGTATGTGTCACCATGCCTGGGCTTCTAAGGTAATTTCTTTATGTCTCTTTTCTTCATTTCTTTTCTTGCACACAGTGGATATCAAATTTTATATCACAATTCTGTGGGCTGATTTTAACACTTAATGTTCTAGCATTGGGCTGGGCATGGTGGCTCATGTCTGTAATACCAGCACTTTGGGAGGCCAAGGAGGGGTGGATCATTTGAGGTCAGGAGTTCAAGACCAGCCTGGCCAACATGGTGAGACCCCCATCTCTACTAAAAACATAAAAATTACCCGGGTGTAGTGACACCCACCTATTAAGTCCAGCTACTCAGGAGGCTGAGGCAGAAGAATCGCTTAAACCTGGGAGATGGAGGCTGCAGTGAGCTGAGATCGCACCACTGCACTCCGGCCTCGGTGACAGAGACTCCATTTCAAAAAATTAAAAATAAATAAATACATAAAAAAAATTCTAGCATTAGTACCATCTCATCTCATCAGAACTCTACAAAATATTTGTTATGTACTGCAGCTCAATTAGAGGTGGTGTCTGATTTTTATCAGCTTCTCCCAGGGCTCCATGACACTGGTCTGAAGTGACTCTTTGCTCTGGTTAGTTGAGAGAGCTCCTTTGCCAAGAGGCCTCCAAGCCAGGGCTGAGATAACTGTTCCCTTTCCACATTCTAGCAACAATTTGCTGGCCACTTCCTGAACAGGGAGGGTCGGAGGAGCCAGCTTGGGACAAGCTGCCTAGCTCCAGAGTAGCCAGACTTGCCCCTGCCTGTCAGCACCTACCAGTGAATTTCTGTGCCTGCAGGATGGAATGTAGGGGTGGGCTGTGTGACTCCATGGTAGACTGGTCCATGTTCCTGGAGGTCACACACTGGGGCTGCCAGTCAAGGGGTGCTCTCAAGTTGGTGAAGGCACTCCAGCCAGCAGGAGTGTGGGCGGCTTTCTGAACAGAGGAGGTGGCACTGGGGAGGGGGTTCTGGCTTTTCTCCTCTAACAGGCTCTGGTTTTGTCTCAATGATAGTGTTTCTACACCTGTGGGTTATGACAGACACAACTGCCGGAAAATCTTCAACAAGGAGACCTGCAAGATAAGTGTGGTGGAGAAGAAGGACCCAAATAGGCCCTGTGGTGTCAGTGGATGGATATCGTAATGTGCTTCTAGTAGGCACAGGGCTCCCAGGCCAGGCCTCATTCTCCTCTGGCCTCCAATAGTCTATGATGGTGTAGCCTTGCCTATCAGTAAAAGATTTTTGAGCAAACACTTGAATATGTGTGTACTTTTAATTTGTAACTTACATATACATTGATTTAATACATATTATAAAGCATACAAAGCATTAAAAAAGGGAGACAAAAATACATATGAATGGCTGAGCACAGTGGCTCATGCCCATAATCCAAGAACTCTGGGACGCTGAGGTGGGCTGATCACTTGAAGTCAGGAGTTTGAGACCAGTTTGGCCAACATGGTGAAACCGGGCATGGTGACAGGCACCTGTAGTCCCAGCTACTCTGGGGCTGAGGCAGAAGAATCACTTGAACCTGGGAGGTGGAGCTTGCAGTAGGTTAAGATCACACCACTGCACTCCAGCCTGGGTGACAGAGTGAGACAATGTCTCAAAAAAAAAAAAAAAAAAATCCAACTCCAAACAAAATACATATGAATAAAAGTTCTGTTTTTCCTAAACTGTGTAATAGGTCATTGTGCATCCCTTACTCGGGGGACCACTGCCACTCTTGCTGTTTGTGATGTCTAAACTCTCCTGCCCATGTCATGCTGGCTGGTAAACATTTTAAAAAAATGTGTGTCTTCACGCTGAAATTAGATCCCTTTTCTTTAAGGTGTTCTTGCTTATCCCTCCTTCCTCTACATCAGGAAGTGTCTTCTACGATGTGTCCCCCACATTCCTCTGTGTTTGCCTGAGGTGAAAGCAGGTTAGAACAAGACCGCCTGAACAAGCGCCCCCAAGGCCACATGCAGCCCGAGGGGAATTCAAGGCCAGGGGCTCCGCCTTGCTGATGGAGAGTGGCCTGGGAGCAAGCCCTCAGCATCAGTTAGCTCCTGCTATACACAAAGCACCCAAAACTTAATGGCTTAAAACAATGACAATATCGATTCTCTTTTGACCGTTTCTGTGATAGAGAACATTTGTTCACTCAACAGGTCTGTACTGAGCACCTGGGCCAGGCAGTGCTCTGGACCTGTGGATACAGCAGTGAACCAGAGAGATCTCAGGAGAGAACTCTGCTCTCCTGGGGCTTGGAGTCAACTGTGTGTACGTGACAGATCAGAAATGCGCAAACAGTCATCTGTTGAACAGTCAGTGGGCAACTGATAAACAGCTTTATCTTCCCCATCTGTTTAAACATGCTATGTGGGCCAGTTGAGCAATCTAGACAGTTCCCTTAGCTTTCTTGGTCAGCTTCAGATAATTTAAAAGGGTGGTCTGAGTTACATTTTGAGTTATATGAAGTCTCCTTCCAGGGGCTGCATCTGAACTGAGAGGGAATGGGGGACAGGAGAGTTAAGGGCTCCTTCTGCCTGAGGTCATGTTCTAGGCTGACTTCCTCTGGGACTTTTGTGGGACTCTCTTTCCACAGCTCCCCTTCCACTCATGATTGTTGTCTTAGCTTCTGCATCAGAACCTACTCTCCTGTTGTTTTGTAATGAGGTTGCCTTGCCCCTTGTAGGAGTCCCTCTTGGGTGGGATCCATAAAACCCTGCTACGATCTTCTCCTTTGCTGGGGAAGGTGGGGAAGAAGTTGCCAACCCAGCATGGAGGACCTCTGTCGAAACTGAGACAGAAAGAAGTACTATTTTACATCTGGTCACAAGTAAATAATGTGGGTTATAATCTGGGCTGTGGGCTGGATGTGGTGGCTCAGGCTTGTAATCCCAGGTGAGGTGAGAGGATTGCTTGTGCCCAGTTTGAGAACAGTCTGGGCAACACAGCAAGACCTGTCTCCACAAAAACAATTTAAAAACCCGGTATCATGGCACACATCTGTTTGTAATCCCAGCTACTCAGCAGGTTGAGGCAGGAGAATCACTTGAACCCAGGAGGCAGAGGTTGCCGCGGGCTGAAATTGTGCCACTGCTCTCCAGCCTGAGCAACAGGGCCAGATCCTGTCTCAAAGAAAAAAGAAAAGAAAAGAAAGAAAAAAAGCATCTTGGCTCTGACTGTTAATTTACTCAACCTTTTTTTATTTTTATTTTTTCTTTTGAGGCGGAGTCTCTCTCTGTCACCCAGGCTGGAGCGCAGCATTGCGATCCTGACTCACTGCAACCTCTGCCTTCCAGGTTCAAGCGATTCCCCTGCCTCAGCCTCCTGAGTAGATGGGACTATAGGCGCGTGCCACCACCCCAGCTAATTTTTTGTATTTTTAGTAGAGTCGGGTTTTTCCGTGTTAGCCAGGCTGGTCTAGATCTCTTGACCTCGTGATCCACCCGCCTAGGCCTCCCAAAGTGTTGGGATTACAGGCGTGATCCCCCGCAGCCGGCCTATTTACTCAATCTTTAGGAAAAAAAAAATGTGGCTATGGAGTAATCATACGTCATATGCCCTGTTGTGTCTTATGATAATCACTTCTGTATCTAAATAATATCTATATTGTTAGGACATCTGAATCACTTGGGATGGTCCTCAGCACAGAATTTGCCTTCAAAAAAAATGTTTGCTTCATTTAATTTGATTTATTCACGGAGGGTGAAAGGACACTGTGCAAGGGCGGGAGGGAGTGTGCCCCTGAGCTCTGCACCTTCTACAGGGTAGTCAAGTGCTTCTGGCGGACCACAGCTGAGATCTCGCCAGACTGTCAGGCTGATGGCGTCAGCCGCCGCATCCACCCGGAATGCTCCTTTTGACAACTACTAAAACCAAGGGACATTGAAAGTCACTAACAAAGCTCAACAAAAGAGTGACAGTGAGCTAATGGTATGGTGGCTCACCCTGTAATCCCAGCACTTTGGGAGGCTGAGGTGGGTGATCGCTTGAGGCCAGGAGCTGGAGATCAGTCTGGACAACATAGCAAGACCCCCATCTCTACTAAAATTAAATAAGTCAGGTGTGGTGGACCCCGCCTATAGTCCCAGCTACTCAGGCGGCTGAGGTAGGAGGATCACCTGAGCCCCCGAGGATGCAGTGAGCTAAGATCGAGCCACCTGCACCCCAGCCTGGGCGACAGGGCAAAACTCTGTCTCTTTTTAACAGTTCTCTTTGGCTGTCAGTCTACCAACATCACAGAGCACGGGTTAGATAACCAGCCACCACTTATTCAAAAATCCTGTCCGTTTAGGACTCTGGAATTACAGCTCTGAGGGAGCTTTTTGGGCCCCCGACATGAAGAATCTCACTAAAGTATATCCACATACTGGCCTGTCTCCCACCCCAACAAGAATCGCCTCCCTAGTGCCCGAGCAATCCCTCCGCGTGGCGGAAACGGATCTCCCCTCTGCATGGAGCTGAGCGGCCCTGCCAGAAAGCCCAAGGAAGGGAACGCCGCGTCTGGGCCGCGGGCCGGGTCCGCCCCTCTCCCCGGCGGCCGGGGGCTGCCAGGCTGGCATTCTCCGGGGCTATGAGGGGCCTGTGCTCCTAAGAGGGCGGGCAACCCGGCGGCCCGGGTGCAGGGGCAGTCGCGGCCCCGTCCTCCCGCGCAGGCCGAGCGTCACCCCTGCCGCCCTCGCGTCCCCGGGCCCGCGTCTCACGCCCGCGTCGGCCGCCAGCGACCAGCTCTGGCTGCTCCTGCGGATCTCCTCCACCGACCACGGCCGCTCCCACACGGGCTCGGACGCCGGCGCCCGCTCCTGGTCTGGGGTCATCCGGTTCATCTGCAGCGAAAAAAAACAGGAGACAGGCTGAGCCTGAGGGCAGCAGGGACGGCGGCCCCCGCCCAGGCCGTTCCCTGTCCTGCCCGGCCCGCCGCCCTCACCATCCCAGCCTCCCGGCTCGGTGAGCTCCGAAGCCGCCCCCGCGCGCCAGGACCGCAGAGCCCCGGAAGCGCAGCCCAGCGGCCCCGGGCGCGACCGCATCACGTGACCTGGTGTCACGTGACAGCACCCCCACGTGATCCGACCTGCGCTGCTGCGGGGAGGACGCTACGGACGGGAACTGCAGTGGAGTTTGGGGTTCCCGGCTGGGTTGGGGTGGGGGAAGCTGCACGAGCCGGGCCGACGCCAGGGAGCGCTGCAGAGGCCGTTTGGCCCGGTGGCTCTGCGGCCCAACACCCGAGGCGGCGGCGCTGTAATGGCACTGGCCGCCAGTCCGGCGGGTCTGGAGAGTGGGGACGTCCAGCAGTCCCTGGAGCCACCAGCCTAGGAACTTGCGACGTCGGCGCTGTGGGTGGAGGAAAAGGCCTGGTCTGCTGCCTCTTCTCGTGCAGCAAAATCCGCTGCTGCGGAGCCGGCAGGCGGGCGCTCAGTAGATACAGAATCCCTGATCTGCCTGGGCATCACCTCACTGTGTAGGAGCTGCTTAAAGTCCTTTGAACTGGCACCATTGCCTTCAGATTGAAGGCCAAGCTCCTCATTATGACAGGCATAAAACTCTCATTCGTCCTCCACTGTCCCAGCTCGGGGCTCCGGCTGTTCTGTCTCTCACTTCTTGCAGTTGTCTCTGCTTAGTCGCCCGAGCAGCTGGGACTACAGTTGACTACAGGTAGGTACCACCATGCCCAGCTAATTTTTGTATTTTTAGTAGAGACCAGGTTTCACCATGTTGACCAGGATTGTCTCAATCTCCTGACCTCATAATGCACCCACCCTGGCTTCCTTGTGCCAGACAAACTTACTTATTAAAATGAAATTCCCAATTTCTTTCCAGTCATGTGTGCCCAAGGGCTAATTATTTAACTTTCCTGAGCTTTCCTCCGTAAAAGGAAGCTACGTATCTTGCAAGGATGTGATATTAAAGTGATAAAATTGTAAAACAGCTGACGGTGCTTGGCTTAGCTGAGCATTCAGCGTAGAAATACCACTGCCCCCATGCACCTTGCTGACACCCAATCCTGCACTTTTTTCTGAAGTCACCTCAGTTATCATTAAACTCATTAAATACCAACCTGATTATCCCAAGTACAGTTTAAGTGACAAGTTATTTTCTATGTATTTATCTAAAAGCATTACATTGTATTGTAATCATTTAAATAATAGGTTTCTCCTTTAATAATAATAGCTAATGTTTATCAAGTGTTCAGTATTTACCACTTTATACATTCTTCATTTAATTCACACAATGACTATGAGGGAGGGAATATTATTCCCAAATTATAGTTGAGGAAACTGAGGTACTGACAGGAGAGGTAACCTACTCATGATTAGGTAACCAGGAAAGAGGCCGACCCAAGAACTCACACTGTGAGCCAATAAGTTACAGTAACATATAGCAATGTTAACACTAAAGCTGGGCTGGCGTGGTGGCTTACACCTGTAATCCCAGCTCTGTGGGAGTCCAAGGTGGGTTTGAGACAAGCCCGGGAAATATGGTGAAACACCGTCTGTGCAAAAAAAAAAAAAAAAAAAAAAAAAAAATAGCGTGACACGGTGGCATAGGTCTGTATATCTGGCTACTCAGGAGACTGAGGTGGAAGGATCACTTGAGCCCCTGAAACCGAGGTTGCAGTGAGCCGAGATTGCACCACTACACTCCAGCCTGGGCAAAGAGTAACACTGCTGAATGGGGGGGGGGGGACTGTTAGTGTCTTTAGGGGACTTCATTTTTTGGTCACCATCTACCAACCTCTTCCCCTTCCCCCACATTCATTAAAACACACACACATACACACGGACTGTATTTAGAACTTGGAACTCAGATGGTAAAATTGAGACAAGCCAATTACCAAACTTGCATTTCATTTTCCATCATCATGGGCAACTTCAGTCGCCATGTGCTTAACATCCTTAATCTACGTCCCACACCCTGGACTTTACCACTGAAACACTGTGACTTCAGATCTGAATTTCTCCTGAATAGAGAAGCCTCTCAAACTCTCGGGTCTCTCTCCTACTCCCTAGTCCACTGTATCTTTTCTCAGCTAACCCAAGCGCCAGTCCTTCAGTGCCCCCTTTCCCCCTCCATTCTGCCCTTTTAGCTTTCTTTCCTTGACTGTTAAGCCTGGAGACCAATGATACCACCCTTTAACTGCTCGTCACAGCTCTTTTATTTTATTTTATTTTATTTATTTATTTTAAAGATGGGGTTTCACCATATTGGTCAGGCTGATCTCGAACGCCTGACCTCAGTTGATCCGCCCACCTCAGCCTCCCAAAGGCCAGCCCTTTTAATATCTTCACCTTATTCCCTGACAAAAACTATGCTAACTTCCAACTTGAATCAGTCCCTTTCTCCTTTCCTGTACCAAAGTTACTGGAGGAAATCACTACAAATTAATATTCTGCAAATGTAAATGACCTTTAATACTGATTAGCAGAGCTTTTATTTATCTTGTGTCTTTATACTTTTCCTTGATCATCCTCCCTCTGTTACAGGAAAGGGATCTCTATCCAGACCCCAAGAGAGGGTTCTTGGATCTTATGCAAGAAAGAATTCAGGGCAAGTCCACAGCGCAAAACAAGAGCAAGTTTCATTAAGAAAGTAAAGGGATGAAAGTAAGAAGAGGGAGGCAAGTAAAGGGATGAAAGTAAGAAGAGGTAAGGACAATGCTTGTATATACTGAGAGATGTGTTCTGCTGCAAGAGTTTGTGATAAAGGATTAATTTTCTTAATATTTTGAAAGAATTGATATTATCTTTAAAGCAAAATTAGGAATGCCTTTGTTCTCCAGATGTTGGAATATAAGGATCCCCCCCCCCCCCCCCGCCAAGTCAGGGTCTGTTTACTAAACACGATCAATTTGTTCACTTAATGGTAAACGTCTAGAGGCTCTAGCAATGCCCAACTCTCTGAGAATGCCGCCCAGCAAGTCTCAGCCTCATTTTCCTAGCCCTCACTCAAAATGGAGTTGCTCTGGTTCAAACGCCTCTGACACTTTCATAGTTTTGAAACAGGAAAGGTTCCCTTCTCCCTCTCGCCCCACCGGGCATGTGATGAAGGTGTGGCTTGCTTCTTCAGCACCCTGCTGTTCAAACCTCTAGGGGAGCATACAGATGGGCAGTCTGTGGGGCTCAGACACCACAGCTGTGTCTAGGGGTGAATGTTTACAGCTCTAGAAGCACCAGTGGGCGTGGGTTACAGGGTGCTTTTTTAGTTTTGCCATCTATAGGCAGCTTGTGTTAACCAGCTCACTTAGACCCTTTCAGTATCCTGGGTTCTTGCCTTGGTGTACTGGAAGAATCGGATCACACTTGGGCTTGGAGAGTGAGTACAAGGTTTTGCTGAGTGGAGGTAGTTCTGGTGAAGTCAGAGGAGAATGGAGTGGAAAGGTTTTCCCCTGGAGTGGGGCCTCTCAGCAACCTGGGCTCTCCTCTGACTGCCTAGCTAAACTCCATGTCTTTCTGCTTCTGCTGGTCGGCTGGCCGGTGCCCGTCGGTGCGTGCCTCTCAAAGTCCAGCCGCCTGTGTGTTCCTCAGCTGATGCGCTCCTCTCAACACCCAGTCGCCTACGTGCCCTGCGGGCTAGGATCTTGGGGTTTTTATAGGCACAGGATGGGGGTGTGGCAGGCCAGGGTGGTCTTGGAAAATGCAACTTTTGGGCAGGAAATGCCTGTCCTCACCTAGGTCTGTAGGGGTGGAGCCCTAGCCAGGGACCACACAGTCCTCTACCCAGCACTTCCCTTCCTTCATTCCATGGCATTTAAGGGACCATGCCCTTCTCTACCCAGCACTTCGCTATCAATTTCACCACATTGTTCCAACTAGCCACTCCACTTGCTGCTTCCAGAGAGAACAGACTCCCCCAACTTCATACTTAAAATGTTGCTGTTACTACACCTTCTGTATCCCATGCACTTCTTTATTTGCACAAAACAGAATTCAACTAACACACTCAAACAAAACAGAATTTGGGGAAAAGATAATGCAGCGCTCACAGCACTTAAAGAAAAGTAGGCAGACAGGTCTTGGAAGGGCATGAACCTCAGAGAAACTCAGAACAGTCTCGTTTGAGTCAATGCCCTCAGAGTGACTGGGCTCCAGTCATTGCCCTTCTTTTGTTTTTCCTCTGAAGTTCTAAATTCCTGAGAGAAAGAGAATCTGAATGGTTTCCCCACAGACCTTTTCACAAGTTTTAAAGTCGTACTTTTGGCTGGGCATGTGGCTCACACCTATAATTCCAGCACTCTGGGAGGCCAAGGCAGGCAGATCACCTGAGGGCAGAAGTTCGAGACCAGCCTCACCAACATAGTGAAACCCTATCTCTACTAAAAATATGAAAATTAGCAGGGTGTAGTGGTGTGTGCCTGTAGTGCCAGCTACTCGGGATGCTGAGGCAGAAGAATTGCTTGAACCTGGGAAGCAGAGGTTGCAGTGAGCTGAGAAGGTGCCACTGGACTCCAAGCTGGGCGGCAGAGCGAGACTCTGTCTAAAAATACATACATAAATAAAAATAAAAATAAAGTCATAGTTCAAATTGCATTTATTCATGTTAGAGAGTTCTTGCACTGCCATACCCATGCCTGAGAATTCAGATAAATCCACTCATCATACAATATATGAAAGCTTGATTCCTGTACATGTTGATACATTCACAGCCTTTTAAATCATTATAACAGGAGCTGGAATTTTAAACCTGCTGAAAGCCTTTCTGTTTCGGTACTTTATGATGTTAAATAACACTTTCAGGTATTAATTTCAGTTGATTCCTCAATAATATAATCTCCAACAAGATTTTTCTAGAAAAGATGTGTACTTTTCGGGGAAAAATACATGGCTCAATATCTAAGAGATTGTTTGCTAAAATTTCTGGTTCTGAAATGAAAGCTTCAGTTTAAAGAAGGATACATTCTTTTTATCTTAAGTACCCAAACTCTCATTGGCTCAGCTACTCACCCAAATTCATCAGAAGGAAGGCATCTTGCCTGCCACCTAAACTGTGCCAATGACATTGCCCAGAAGTGGTTGGCAGGTCCCAGCAGGAGACACTGTAATGTTCCTAGGAGTCCAGTTCTTGCACTGACTAATCAGAAAGTCACAGTTGGATTGTTTTACCCATTGGCTTCACCCCTGCCAGTCGCAAGTCTGTGTCTTCTATGTTTGGCAAAAATATTTATTATAAGTATAAAATAAATGTTTAATAATTAAATTATAATCATGTACATTTATTGTACATAATTCAAATTTTTTTACAATTTTTATATCTTAACTTTTCTTTCTTTCTTTTTTTTTTTTTTGAGATGCAGTCTGGCTCTGTCGCCCAGGCTGGAGTGCAGTGGCATGATCTTGGCTCACCGCAGCCTCCACCTTGTGAGTTCAAGCAATTCCCCTGCTTCAGCCTCCTGAGTAGCTGGAACTACAGGCACACGCCACCATACGTGGCAATTTTTTTTGTATTTTTAGTAGAGACAAGTTTTCACCGTATTGATCAAGCTGGTCTCAAACTCCTGACCTTGTGATCCACTTGCCTCAGCCTCCCAAAGTGCTGGGATTACTGGCGTGAGCCACCACATCCGGCTGTTTTAAATTTTCAATTGGAAATGATTTCAGATTTATGAAAAAGTTGCAAAAGTAGCACAAAGAATTCTTATATATCCTTTACTCAGTTTTTCCAAACTTTCACATCTTGCATTAGCACATTGCAATCAAATCCAGAAAATTAACACTGATACATTACTAATATCTAATCTACGGACCTTATTCAAATTTCATTACTTATCCCATGCCCTTGTTTGGACTAGAATTCCTGCAGGACCATATAGTGCATTTGTTATGTTTCTGTGGGCTTGTTTGAATTGGGACAATTCCTTCGTCTTTCTTTTCTTCTTCTTCTTCTTCTTCTTCTTCTTCTTCTTCTTCTTCTTTTTTTTTTTTTTTTTTTTTTTTGAGACGGAGTTTCGCTCTTGTTACCCAGGCTGGAGTGCAATGGCGCGATCTCGGCTCACCGCAACCTCCGCCTCCTGGGTTCAGGCAATTCTCCTGCCTCAGCCTCCTGAGTAGCTGGGATTACAGGCACGCGCCACCATGCCCAGCTGATTTTTTGTATTTTTAGTAGAGACGGGGTTTCACCATGTTGACCAGGATGGTCTCGATCTCTCGACCTTGTGATCCACCCGCCTCGGCCTCCCAAAGTGCTGGGATTACAGGCTTGAGCCACCGCGCCCGGCTCTTCTTCTTTTTTTTAATCTTAACTGTTTTAAAGAGTTTTAGCCAATTCTTTTATAGAACGCAAATCAGTTTGAGTTTGTCTGTTTTCTCATGATTAAATTCATTTATGCATTTCTGGCAGAAAACAATTAACATGCAATAATAAGAAAACACTGAAAAGGAAAAACTGTGGGGACTTGCCTTACCAAGTGTGAACACATGCAACAAAGCCTCTGTAATCAAAACAGAGCAGTTCCGGTACATGAATAGACACACAGTTCAGTTTGGAATAGAAGAGAAACTCCCAACATAGACCCAAGTACATTTGGAAATAGGGTATTGATAACAGTGGCATCTCATGCCACTGGGGCAAAAACAGATTTTTTTCAATGGTTCTGGAAGCTGGGCATGGTGGCTCACACCTATAATCCCAACATTTTGAGAGGTCTCCTGCTTGAGGTCAGGAGACCAGCCTGGGCAACATAGTAAAACCCCAGTCTCTACTAAAATTTTATAAGTTAGTTAGGTATGATGGTGTGTGCCTATAGTCTCAGCTACTTGGGAGGCTGAAGTAGGAGGATACCTTTAGCTTGGGAGTTGGAGGCTGCAGAGAGCTATGACTCCAGCCTGGGTGACAGAGCAAAACCCTGTCTCTCTAAAAGAAAAAGAAAAATGTGCTGGAACAACTGAACAGCCATTTAGAAAGTTTATATTCACAGTTTACATAAAAATAAAATAATAAACTACAACTGAATTAGCAGTAAAATCTGGATTAGACTAGTAAAATCTGAAACCATAGAACCATTAGCAAAAACCAGGAATGACTTCCTCCTCACTCTCGATATAGCAAAAGTGTAACTATGATTTAAAATTCAGAGACAGTAAAATAAACAATTGATACATTTGAATACGTAAAATAAAACATTTGCATGCCTAAAAAAAAAAAAAACCCACCATAAACAAGGTGAAAGAACAATTGACAAACTGGGAGAAAGTATTTGCAACATACATCACACACAAGTGGCTAATATCCCTGATATACAAAGAGCTCAAAAAGTAAGGGACAAATGATTTTAAATTCAAAAATAAAAAAGCACATTTAAACAGCATACATACTATAATGTTTCTTACCTATCTGAACAGCAAAATTAAAAAGTAGGACAGCACATTTTGGTACTGAAGAGAAAAATGGATTCTCAAATGTTACCACTGGAAATGCAAATTAGTACAACCCTTTTGGAGGAGAATTTAGCAGTAGCTGGCAAGACTTATATTTATTTCTATATTTATTCCTTGACCCAGCAATCTCAGTTCTAGAAATTTGCCTTGAAGATACATTTACAACGATCAATAGTAACCAAAACAGCATGATACTGGCATAAAAACAGACACATAAACCAATGGAACAAAATAGACAGCCCAGAAAAAAACCCATGCATCTACAGCTGCTGTGGTTTCAATGTCTGTCCCCTCTGAAATGTAAGCTGAAACTTAATTCTCAGGAAGCAGTATTGGGAGGTTGGGCCTTTGGGAGGTGATTGGGTCATTAAGGGCTCTGCCCTCATGAAAGAATTCATTCATTCCTAGATTAAAGGATTAATGAATTAATGGGTTACCACAAGAGTAGGATAGTTATCATGTAGGTAGGACTATTATAAAAGCCAATTTAGTTCACTCAAGTGAGTCCCCTCCCCATGTGATGCCCTGCACCACCTCAAGACTGCAGAGAGCCCCCATCAGCAATAAGGCCCTCACCAGAGGTGCCCCCTGGTCTTTGGACTTCCCAGCCTCCACAACTGTAAGAAATAAATTTCTTTATTATTATTTATTTATTTATTTATTGCCCTCTCTCCTCCCACCCCTTACTTTTTATTTATTTATTTTTTTATTTTTATTTTTTAGAAATAAATTTCTTGCCGGGTGTGGTGGCACGTGCCTGTAGTCCCATCCCAGCTACTCGGGAGGCTGAGGTGGGAGGATCGCTTGAGCCCAGGAGTTCTGGGCTGCAGTGCGCTATGCTGATCGGGTGTCCGCACTAAGTTCGGCATCAATAGGGTGACCTCCGGGGAGTGGGGCACCACCAGGTTGCCTAAGGAGGGGTGAATTGGCCCAGGTCAGAAACAGGATCGCGACTGTGAATAGCCACTGCACTCTAGCCTGGGCAACATAGCGAGACCCTGTCTCTTAAAAAAAAAAAAGAAAGAAAGAAAAAATATATATATAAAAAAAAAAGAAATAAATTTATTTTAGTCTCAGGTTCAGTCATAGTAACAGAAAATAGAATAAGACAACAATCAACTGATTTTCAAGAAATGGGCCAACAACACATATTGGGGAAAAAAACTTTTTAATCAAGAGTGTTGGTGAAACCGGATATCCGCATGCTGAAGAATGTAACTAGGCACCTACCTCTCACTAGATACAAAAATCCACTCAAAATAAAGCCTAAAATACAAGACTTGAAACTATGAAACTAGAGTGACTAGAGTTAACAATAATTTATTATATATTTCAAAATAGCTGAAAGAGAGAATTTTGAATCTTCTTGCCACAAAGAAATCATAAAGTTTTGAGTGATTAATATGCTAATTGCCCTGATTTGGCTATTACACAAAGTATACATATACCCCACGATAGATGGGGTATATGTATACTTCACACGATACCCCATACATATCTACAGTTATTATGCATCACTTAAAAATAAAATAAAGCTCAAAAAGTTGCATCTAATTAAATGTTTTTTCCAGTTTGCCAAAAGAAAAAAAAGATGTATAGGGCCGGGCGCGGTGGCTCAAGCCTGTAATCCCAGCACTTTTCAGAGGCCAAGGCAGGTGGATCACGAGGTCAAGAGATCGAGACCATCCTGGTCAGCATGGTGAAACCCCGTCTCTACTAAAAATACAAAACATTAGCTGGGCATGGTGGCGCGTGCCTGTAATCCCAGTTACTCAGGAGGCTGAGGCAGGAGAATTGCCTGAACCCAGGAGGCGGAGGTTGCGGTGAGCCGAGATCACGCCATTGCACTCCAGCCTGGGTAACAAGAGTGAAACTCCATCTCAAAAAAAAAAAAAAAAAAAAAAAAAGTTGTATAAGCAGTTGATTTGAAATAAAGAAGTTTCAAGTAGCAAAATGCATACATCTGTGATTAATTCGAAGAGATTGTTGTAAAGAGCTGTTCTGGTTGTGATTCCAACTTTTCATTGGCAAACGGAGGAGGAAATCGAGTCCCCTTATCTTGGTTGTTATGCATAAGACCTCAGAAAGTGGATAGCTCAAGGGAGGTCACAGAAAAGCTTCAACAGACTAGAGGCCAAAACGTAACCCAAAAACCTAACCGAGCATATAAATTTTCCCAGTCTTACCTGAAAGGAAGACTCTGAGTGTTAGGAACCTGCTTAGGCAAAAGTAGGAACCACCACCATTACTTCACAGGCCAGACATGGCACACCTCTTTCATTCCTTGAGACTCTGGTATCTGGTCAGAACTATGGGTAAAAGGGAGAGAGAGGTCATAAATCCTACTGTGGAGGAGTTGATGAGCAATTGTGTCTACACAGTCCATTCCTTGGATACCTGACCAGTCTAGATTAGCAAACCTGCCATCTATGTAAAGTCCAGCACATCCAGAGGAATAAGAACCTGATTCTTTGAGGCCAGGAGTGCTGACTCACGCCTGTAATCCCAGCACTTTGGGAGGCCGAGTCAGGCAGATCACCTGAGGTTGGGAGTTGGAGACCAGCCTGACCAATATGCAGAAATCCTGTCTCTACTAAAAATACAAAATTAGCAGGGCATGGTGGCGCATGCCTATAATCTCAGCTACTAGGGAGGCTGACGCAAGAGGATCACTTGAATACTGGAGGCAGAGGTTGCAGTGAGCCGAGATTGCATCACTACCCTCCAGCCTGGGAGACAGAGCAAAACTTTGTCTCAAAAAAAAAAAAAATAAATAAGAAAGAAAGAAAGAAAGAAAAGAAAAGAATCTAAGTTACCCCTTTTAACTGCTGCAGAGTATTCCGTGGTAGGAACATACTATGGTTCATGTAGTCATTCTCCCATTAATGGACCTTTAGATCATTGCCTATATCTAACTGCTACCAGCAATGCTGCTAAGATAATCTTGGCAATAATTTCTTGCTCACACGTGCAAATGTGTTGGTTTTAATAGATATGTCAGATGCCCTCCAAATTGACTGCACTAATATGCACTCCCTCTGGTGGGATGTGAGGGTACCCGTTTGCCCAACTCCAGCAACTGTTATCAAACTGGAAAATACTAGCCAATCTGATCAGTAAAAATAGCATCTCAATGCTCTTTTATTTGTATTTCCTTGAGAACTAGTAAGATCAAGCATTTTTTCTTATATATATATATTTGCCACTTTTTCCGTTTTTTCTTATCTTTCTTAGCAATTTTAATTTCCCTGAATGGTGTTTTCATATGAATGCTGGAATTACAGGCGTGCTTTTGTAGTCCCAGCTACTGGGGGGGTCTGAGGTGGAAGGATCGCTTGAGCCAGTGACATCAAGGCTGCAGTGAGCCGTGATCATGCCACTGCACTCCAGCCTGGGCAACAGAGCAAGACTTTGTCTCAAAAAAGAAAATAAATGTCTTTGTTTCACTATGCTCTTAAATAATTCTGTAGCTGGGTTATAGAATTCAGCATAAATTACCTTTATTTCCCAACAGCTCATTGAAGACATTGCCTCATAGTCTTGTATGCAGTGCTGCTAATGAAATTAATGAGAAAAATATGATCCTTATTTCTTTGGGTTTTTAACTTTTTCTCCTTTGGTAGCTTTTAACATTTTCCTCTCTGTTTTTATAGCTTTCTTCACTTTTGGGGAATTTTTAGCTATTAATTAAATACTACTTTCTCCTATTCTTCCTCTCTCTGCCTCTGGAATTCCTACTAGATGAAAGCTTGAATGTCATCATCCAGGCTTTACGTCTTTTAATCTTTTCAGTTTTCTGGGGCGGGGCGGGGGGGGGGGCGGTTAATCTGCAAAGCTCCCTCAACTGAATGCTCCATCTTGCTAATGCACACTTCAGTGTATCTCTTCTGTCACTCAGCCTGTCTTTTGAGTTTTTTATTTCAGTAACTTGGGCTTTAATTTTGAGATTTCTTTTTTTTTTTTTTTTTTTTTTTTTGAGACGGAGTTTCGCTCTTGTTACCCAGGATGGAGTGCAATGGCGCGATCTCGGCTCACCGCAACCTCCGCCTCCTGGGTTCAGGCAATTCTCCTGCCTCAGCCTCCTGAGTAGCTGGGATTACAGGCACGCACCACCACGCCCAGCTAGTTTTTGTATTTTTAGTAGAGACGGGGTTTCACCATGTTGACTAGGATGGTCTTGATCTCTCGACCTCGTGATCCACCCGCCTCGGCCTCCCAAAGTGCTGGGATTACAGGCTTGAGCCACCGCGCCCGGCCTAATTTTGAGATTTCTAATTGGTTCTTTTCCATAATTGCTTGGTTTTATTTTTCCTTATTTTGCTGAAGATATTAAATATATGACATGGTAATTGCCCCATAAACTGCATACCTCAACCATACCTCGGCTTTCCATTGAAACTGCTCTCTGTATCCCTAATGTGACAGGCAAGCAGTCCAAACCAATGCCATTTTGGCCCCTGAGCCATTTTAAGAAAAACTAAGACTTGTAATAAGTAACTAAAATCTGTAATTTCCATCCTACCCAGACAATGTGTAAACTAAGGCTTATCTTGACTTCTGTGACCCACTTAAGTAACAATCGGAATGTCCTTGCCCTCACCGCCACCCAGGAGGTGGTTTATGGGCATAAAAGGTCTTGACACCCTCCTTTTGGGGCCACGGGTTAGAGAGACGCGAGTCCTCCGTGGCTGCCGGCAACAAAGACCCTGTAATTTGGCCTAGTCGTTGTCTCAGTGGTGATTTCGCACTTGCTTGGTTACAGCAAATGTACTGGCTTTAATTGACCTTTGGTTGTGTAGAAGATTGTTCATTTGTTCCATTTGTTATCTCTCTTTCATGACAGTGGGCTTCCTCAGACATCTGGCACTTCTTCAGTGCACACTAGTTTTCTGGTTTTGAATTCCGCACCTGAGTCTCAGGATTCCACAGCGCTCTCAGGTGAGTGCAGCCCAGGTTACGTGGGCCTTGGCTTCTCCTATGGCTTCTTAAGAACTTCCTTGTTTATTTCTGTGATCTCAAGCACTCCCCTTTATGACTTCAAGCCCAACTGTATAGACAGTAATTTCATTTCTCTATCTCTACTGTCATTTATAAGGGCACAGCATGGAGGGGAGGGCCTTTCAGACATTTTTCTTACCCCATCTGAAGTCCCTAAATTACACTTAAAAAAATACCAGCAAAACGTTTGTCTTTGATTTAGGAAGAGTAGGGAACTCTGACATGAGGTTGGAGTAGGCGGGTGTATGTGTGTTTGGGTGCCTAGGCCATTTAAACTTGCTCTGTAATGTATTGCAATAAATGTTTCAGTGTCGGTACAGTGAACAATTCAACTTAATGATAGGCCAATCCGGAATCTCAGTAAAATTTACTTTGCCTGTTGGTTATTTTCTTAAGCATTAATATCTATAGGAAGACGTAGTAGGAGTGGCTGACAAAGGTCAATAAATCTTAAGATAATATGCTTGTTTTTGATGTGAATGTTGTGGCTCAGGCCACCCTGAAACGAAATTCACAGGGTTGGTTTAGATGTCTTCTTCCACACCTCTCCTTACCAGCCGCCTTACAGATGCAGACCCTCCCGTCTCAGGCCTGGGTTTGACCTTCACACAAGACAGATGCCGGCAGGAAATATCCACCCTGCCTTAGTTATAACTCTTGAGTCCTTGTCCATGATATCTTAAAAGGCCACCAGATGGAAACGTGAGGCTGTGAAAAGAGACGCACTACACCTTGTAAACGGGGATTGACCCTGCTGCTTTCTTAAAAGAAATGGTCTTCATTGAATGTCAAACAAGGTTTGAGGAATTTTTCTTTATTGAATGTAGAATAAAGAAGGCGTTACATGAATGCCTATGCATTCCGGCTTTGGAGAGGAATCTTACATCCATTCTCACAGCATGGAGATAAAAAGTCTGTCTTTCTGTATTCATGTTTTGCTGCTGTCACTTGCTTCCTTTTTTCTCTCCCTGGTCTGCGCGGACCATATCATCTCTACATCTTCTCTCTCTTGTCCTCTTCCTTGCCACCTGGAACCAACTTTTCATCCCTCTGGCCTTTGTCTCTTCCTACTTTCTGGCCATATGTGGACCAGAAAATTAATTATCAAAATGATTTGTTGTTTTTCTTCTTACAAATGTATGATCTCGTTTTCTTGTGTGTGTGTGTTTTTTTTTTTTTTTCTTCTTTGAGACGGAGTTTCACTCTTGTTACCCAGGCTGGAGTGCAATGGCGCGATCTCGGCTCACCGCAACCTCCGCCTCCTGGGTTCAGGCAATTCTCCTGCCTCAGCCTCCTGAGTAGCTGGGATTACAGGCACGCGCCACCATGCTCAGCTAATTTTTTGTATTTTTAGTACAGACGGGATTTCACCGTGTGGACCAGGATGGTCTTGATCGCTTGACCTTGTGATCCACCAGCCTTGGCCTCCCAGAGTGCTGGGATTACAGGCTTCAGGCACCGCGCCCGGCATATGATCCCGTTTTCATTGCAAACGCCAATGAGTAAGAATTTTTACCATTCCTTCACTGTAAAAAACAAAACTGAGGCTAGGTATGTTGGCTCCTGCCTGCAGTCCCAGCTACTTGGGTAGCCAAAGCGGGAGGATTGCTTAAGCCCTGGGGGCGGTGGGGGGGGCGGGTGTTGTTGAGGCTGCAGTGACCTATGATTGTACCACTGCACTCCAGAGTAAGATCCCAGGTAACTCTAAAAACAAACAGCAACAAAACATCTGACCAAAAAAAATCGTGCCCTCTGCCAAAACTAACAGAATTACTTTAAAAATATTTTAGAGTTATAATAATCCAACCCCAAATTTTACCTATTATCACTGTATGTCTCAATTAATTTTCACAAATAAAAAACACAGTCATTTGACCAGGACTCAGATCAGGAAATAGAACATTACCAGGGCCTCTGAAGCCTCGTTCTGTCTGCATCCAGTCTCTACCTTCTTCTCATCCAAGGGCAGTCATCACTCAGACTGCTGTTAGCACAGATTAATTTCACCTGTTTTTGTTCTGTATAAAAATGGAACGAAATGTCCTAGTTTGGGTTCCCCTAGGAGCTGCCCTGAGACAAGGATTTGGTGACAGTTCCTTTATTTGGGAGACACAGGGAACACTGGGTGGGGCATGAAGAAGTGAGCCAGGAAAAGGCAGGCAGCAGCCAATTAAAAAAAAAAAATGTGTTATAAGGCCAGGCACGGTGGCTCACCCCTGTAATCCCAGCATTTCAAGAGGCTGAGGTAGGCGGATCACCTGAAATCAGGAGCTCGAGATCAGCCTGGCCAATATGGCGAAACCCCGTCTCCACTAAACATACAAAAATTAGCCAGGTGTGGTAGTGCATGCCTGTAGTCCCAGTTACTCCAGAGACTGAGGCAGGAGAATCGCTTGAACCAGGAAGGCGGAGGTTGCAATAAGCTGAGATGGTGCTGCTGAACTCCAGCCTGGACCACAGAGTGAGACTTTCTCTCAAAAAAAAAAAAAAAAAAAAAAAAAGTGGGCCAGGCGCTGTGCCTCATGCCTGTAATCCTAGCACTTTGGGAGGCTGAAGTGGGTGGATCACCTGAGGTCAGGAGTTCAAGACCAGCCTGGCCACAATGGTGAAACCCCATCTTTAAAAAACAAAAAGTGTTACGAAGCAAATAATCACAGTGGGTGACTGGAGCAGCAACCTCTGGAAAATGCCATCAATATAATCCTTGGAATTATGCTCCTCCAGAGGGAAGGGGGACTTTCTTGTCCCGCTAATGTCCCTTTTCTGCTGCAGCGTCCTACACAAGATGCCGCTTTGCCTTTAGTTGTTGCAACTCCTTAGTCCCTTTTAATCTGGGACAGTTCCTCTGTCTTTTTTTAAATTTCATGACCTTGATAGCTTTGAAGAGTACTTCCCAGTTATCTTGTAGGATGTCCCTCATTCTAATAAAATGTGAGTTTGTCTGCCTTACTTCCTATTTGAAGGAAAGTAAACTAAGGCAAAGAGAGGTTGCTTAAGGTTACACAACATATATGTAATAGAGGCAGGACTTGAATCCAGATCATCTAGCTCTGGAGTGCTGTGTCTTAACCACTAAGCTACAGTGAGTTCTTAAACTATTTAGTTGAATTATTGTATGATACATAGTAGTAGTTGCTGTTCTTATCTGGAAAGGTTTTTTAATGGTTTTAACAAATATTAAAAATTACATTAATATATATGGCCGGGCACAGTGGTTCACACCTATAATCCCAGCACTTTGGGAGGCCAAGGAGGGCAGATCACGAGGTCAAGAGATTGAGACCATCCTGGTCAACATGGTGAAACCCCGTCTCTGCTAAAAGTACAAAACAGTTATCTGGGTGTGTTGGGGTGTGCCTGTAGTCCCAGCTACTCAGGAGGCTGAGGCGGGAGAATTGCTTGAACCCAGGAGGCGGAGGCTGCAGTGAGCCGAGATTGCACCACTGCACTCCAGCTTGGCTCCTGGTGATGGAGCAAGACTCTGTCTCAAAAAAAAAAAAAAAAAAAAAAAAAGAAAATGAAATACATATAGATACAGATCATGCAGTGGCTCACACCTGTAATTGCAGCACTTTGGGAGGCTGAGCCAGCTGGATCACGAGGTCAGGAGATCCAGACCGTCCTGGTCAACATGGTGAAACCCGGTCTCTACTAAAAATACAAAAATTAGCTGGGTGGGATGGTACCCGCCTGTAGTCACCTATAGTCCTAGCTGTTCGGGAGGCTGAGGCAGGAGATTCGCTTGAACCTGGGAGGCAAAGGTTGCAGTGAACCGAGATTGGACCACTGCACTCCAGCCCGGACAACAGAGCAAGACGGAGGTGGGGTTCAAGCGATTCTCCTGCCTCAGCCTTGCCAGTAGCTGGGATTACAGGTATGTGCCACCACACCCAGCTAATTTTTGTATTTTGAGTAGAAACAGGGTTTCATCATGTTGGCCAGTCTGGTCTCAAACTCTTTACCTCAAGTGATCCACCCACCCTGGCCTCCCAAAGTGCTGGGAATACAGGCTTGAGCCACCGTGCCCGGCCGGAAGACTTAATATTGCTAAAAACCAGTGCCATTCCTCTCAAAAATTCGGTGACTTCTTTGCAGAAATACAAACACCCATCCAAAAATTTACATGGAATCTCAAGAGACCTCAAATAGCAAAAACAATCTTAAGATAAGAACAAAGTTGGAGGACTCACACTTTCTTATTTCCAAACTTTTGACAAAGCCACAGTAATCAAAATCATGTGGTGCAAGCTATATAGACCAATGGAATAGAAGGCTTAGAAATGAACCCTCTCATCACGTAACAATCATTTAACATCCCTGTCAAATGACAAAGGTGTTAAAATTGTTCAATGGGAGATTACAGCGACTGTGCCATTGCACTCCAGCCTAGGCAACAACAGCAAAACTCCATCTCAAATAATAATAATAATAATAATAATAGTAGTAATTGAAAGAAGGAACTCCAACAGGTATTTGTACACCACGGTTTATAGCAACATTCTACACAATAACCCAGTGGTAGAAAGAACCCAAATGTCCATCAACAGGTGAACAGACAGACAAAATGTGGTCCTATGCATACACTGGAATATTATTCAGCTTTAAAATGAAAGAAAATTCTGACACATGCTACTGCACAAATGAACCTTGAAGACATTATGCCAGTTGAGATAGGCCAGACACAAAAGGACAAATACTGCATGATTCTTCTTATATGAGGCACTTAAATAGTCAAATTCACAGAGACAAATAGAATGGTGGTTGCCAGGTGCTGGGGAAAGAGGGGAATGGGAAATTATTGTTTACTAGGTACAGATTTTCAGTTTGGGAGGATAAAACATTCTGGAGGTGGATAGTAGTGATGGTCACATAGCAACGTGAATGTACTTAGTGCCACTGAACTGTACACTTGAAGAGAGTTAAAATGATGATTTTTTTTTTTCTTGAGATGGAATTTCGGTCTTGGCATTCAGGCTGGAGTTCAACGGCGCAGTCATGACTCACTGCAACCTCCACCTCCCAGGTTCAAGCGATTCTCCTGCCTCAGCCTCCCGAGTAGCTGGAATTACAGGAGCCCGCCACCACACCCAGCTAATTTTTGCATTTGTAGTAGAGACGGGGTTTCACCATGTTGATCAGGCTGGTCTTGAACTCCCGACCTCAGGTGATTCACCCGCCTCGGCCTCCCAAAGTGCTGGAATTACAGGCATGAACCACCGCGCCTGGTCTTTTATTTATTTATTTTTTGAGATGGAATTTCTCTCTGTCGCTCAGGCTGGAGTACACAGAAGCATAATCTCTACCCACTGCAACCTCTGCTTCCTGGGTTCAAGCAATTCTCCTATCTCAGCCTCCTGAATAGCTGGGACTACAGGCATGGGCCACCATGATTTTTGTATTTTTAGTAGAAACCGAGATTCACCGTATTGGTCAAGCTGGTCTTGAACACCTGTTCACGCAGTGGTTCATGCCTGTAAGTCTCCGGGAATATCGCCACCCCATAAACATCTACACTTTTGAAAATGGTCCTTGAGTTACGTGTTACAGCTCTGCAATCTTTTTTCTAGCAGGATTCTGACTGATATACCAAGAAAAAGAAGAAAGGAGGGTCTTACTGATACACCAAGAAACAAAAATAGAAGGGCATGCTGATATGGGAAAAGGAAATCACGTCTCATAAGTACCAGATTCTGTTAGAGTTTTACACATGTTGTTACGTGTAATCCTTGTAACAACCTTGTAACGAAGACTTAATCATCTCTGCTCTCCTGAGAGGGAAACGGAACTTCAAAGAGGGTAAACAATTTCTCCAGATCCTTCAAATAGTGACTAATGAAGTTGGGATTTAAATTCAGGTCTTCCTGAAAACAAAACCCATGTTATTTCCCCTATAGGAGCTGAAGGAGCTATAGAATTTAAATTTGTTTTGTTTTATTTTGTTATTTTTGAGACGGAGATTCCCTCTCGTTGCCCATACTGGAGTGCTGTGGCACAATCTTGGCTCACCACAACCTCCACCTCCCGAGTTCAAGTGATTCTCTTCCCTCAGGCTCCTGAGTAGCTGAGATTACAGGCGTCTGCCACCACATCCGGCTAATTTTTTTTGTATTTTCAGTAGAGACAGGGTTTCACTATGTTGGCCAGGCTTGTCTCGAACTCCTGACCTCAGGTGATCCACCCACCTCTGCCTCCCAAAGTGCAGGGATTACAGGTGAGAGCCATCACACCTGGCTCAGTTTTTGTCTTTTTGAAACTGATTTATTTCTCTTAGTACATGCCGTCAAGGTTCATTAATATTGTAGCATTTGACAGTAATTTCTTATTTTTTAACGCTGAATGATGTTACAATTATAATAATTGCGTATACTTATGATAACTGAATAATATTCACAATTGCATTGCATGTATAAGCACATTTTTAAATCCATGAATGACATTTGGGTTGCTTCCATCTCTTGGCTATTGAGAATAATGCTGCAACAAGCATGAGTGTGAAAATATCTCTTTGGGATCCTGCTTTCAATACTTTTGGGTGTAAACCCAGAAGAGGGACTGCTGGATTATACAGTAATTCTATTTTTAATTTTTTTAGGAACCTCTCTACTGTTTTCCACAGCAGCTGCACCATTTTACATTCCCACTAACAATGCACAAGGGTTCCAATTTCCCCACATCCTTGCTAGCATTTGTTCTTCTGGGATTTTTTTTTGATAACTAGACAACCTAGCAGCTGTGAAGTGACATCTCATTGTAGTTTTGATTTGCATTTCTCGAATGATTAGTGCTGTTGAACATCTGGTCATAGGCCTGTTGGCCTATTTATATCTCTTCATTAGAGGAATGTGTATTCAAATCCATTGTCCATTTTTTAATTGGGTTTTGTAGTTGAATCGTAAGAGTTCCTTGGGTATTCTGGATATTAACCCTTCTTCAGATTTGTGATTAACAGTATTTTTTTCCCATTCCATAGGTTGCCTTTTCACTGTGGTCATTATTTCCTTTGACGTAAAGATGTTTTTAAGTTTGAGGTAGTCCTATTCATCTATTTTTGATGTTGCCTGTACTTCAGTGTCACATTCAATAAATCCGTGTAAAAACTCATCTTATGCAGTTTTCCCTTATGTTTTCCTCTAAGAGCTTTAGTTTTACATCTTAGCATTTAGCCTTTAATCCATTTTGGTTAATTTTTGTATATGGGGTTACAGGCGTGTACCACCATTCCCAGCCATCAACTGTATTCTTTTGTATGTGAATATACAGTTTTCCCAACACCATTTGTTGAAGAGACTGTCCTTCTCCTATTATGAGGTGCTGGTGCCCTTACTAAAGATCATTTGACTGGCCGGGCACGGCGGCTCACACCTGTAATCCCAGTACTTTGGGAGTCTGAGGAGGGCAGATCAGGAGGTGAAGAGATCGAGACCATCCTGACCAACAAGGTGAAACCCCGTCTCTACTAAAATTACAAAAATTAGCCAGGCGTGGTGGCACATGCCTGTGGTCGCAGCTACTCGGGAGGCTGAGGAGGAAGAACAGCTTGAACCCAGGAGGCAGAGGTTGCAGTGAGCCGAAATTGTGCCACTGAACTCCAGCCTGGAGACAGAGCAAGATTCCATCTCAAAAAAAAAAAAAAAAAAAAAAAGAAAGAAAGAAAAAGAAAAAGATCATCTGACCATATGTACGAGGGTTTATTTCTGGGATGTCTATTCTGTTACATTGTTCTATATGTCTATCTTTATGTCAGTAGCAGATTGTGGGTTTTTTTTGTTTGTTTGTTTGTTTGTTGAGAGGGAGTCTCACTCTGCAGCCCATGCTGGAGTACATCGATGCAATCTTGGCTCACTGCAAACTCCACCTTCCGGGTTCAAGTTATTCTTGTGCCTTATTCTCTCCAGGAGCTGGGATTACAGGTGTGCACCACCATGCCTGGCGAATTTTTGTATTTTATTTATTTATTTATTTACTTATTTATTTTTGAGATGGAGTCTTGTTCTGTGGCCAGGCTGGAGTGCAGGGGAGCAATCTCCTCTCACTGTAACCTCCGCCTCCTGGGTTCAAGCGATTCTTCCGCCTCAGCCTTCCGAGTGGCTGGAACCACAGGCGCGTGCCACCCGGCTAATTTTTGTATTTTCAGTAGAGACAAAGTTTCACATTGTTGGCCAGGATGGTCTCCATCTCTTGACCTCGTGATCCGCCCGCCTCGACCTCCCGAAGTGCTGGGATTGCAGGCGTGAGCCACGGCGCCAGGCCGAATTTTTGTATTTTTAGTACAGACTAGGTTTCACAATGTTGGCCAGTCTGGTCTTGAACTCCTGACTTCAAGTGAACTGTCCTCCTCGGCCTCCCAAAGTCCTAGGATTACAGGCATGAGCTACCGCACCCAGCTGGCACTGTTCTGATTACTTGTAGCTGTGTGATATGTTTTGAAATCAGGAAATGTGAGCCCTCCAACTTTGTTCTTGTTTAAAGACTGTTTTGACTATTCAGGGTCCCTTGAGATTCCACATGTATTTTAGGATTTTTTTTTTCCTATTTCTGCAAAAAAAAAAATACCACTGAGATTTTGATAGAATTACATTGACTCTGATTGCTTTAGGCAGTGTGTGCATTTTAACAACACTAGTCTCTTCTAATTCATGAGCACAGGATGTCTTTTCATATATTTTTGTCTGCTATAATTTCTCTCAGCAATGTTTTGTAGTTTTCAGTATACAAATTTTTCCACCTCTTTGGTTAATTTGTATTTTATTATTTTTGATGCTATTGTAAATGGGATGATTTTCACGATTTCCTTCTGTGATTTTTGTGTGGGATTTTTGTGTGGGATTATTTTCACGATTTCCTTCTGTGTTAGTTTCCAGCAACTTTGCTGAATTCATGTATTAGTTCCAACACTTATTTTGTGGAATCTTTAGGGTTTTCTATATATAAAATCTTGTCATATATAAATACAGATAAAATTTATATTTATCTTTCCAATCTGATTGCCTGTTTTTCCATTTCTTGCCTAATTGCTCTGGCAAAAGTTTTCAGTACTATGTTGAATAGAAGTGGTTAGAGTAAGCATCCTTGTGTTGTTCCTGATCTCAGAAGAAAAGATTTCAGTTTCTTGCTATTGAATATTGTGTTAGCTGGGGGCTTTTCATATATGGCCATGGTTATTTTGAAGTAGTTTCCTTCTATTCTTAGTTTGTTGAAGGTTTTTATTATGAAAGGTTGTCACATTTTGCCAAGTATTTTTTTTAATCAACAAAGTTGATGATGTAGATATCTCCTTCATTATATTAATATGGTATTTATTATGTTAATTTATTTTTGCATGTTAACTCATACTTCCAGCCAGGAATCAGTCCTGCGCAGTCGTGATGTATAACTTCTTTAATGTGCGGTAGAATTCAGTTTGCTAGTACAATATTTTGTTGAAGATTTTTGTTTCATTCAATAGCTGAATAATATTTCATTATATGAATATGCCACATCTTGTTTATCCACTCAACAGTTGATGAACAATGAGGTTGTTTCTGTTTTTTGCCTATTATGAATAATGCTGTTATTAGCATTCATGTACAGGTATTTGTTTGAGTAGCTGTTTTCAGTTCATTGGGTCATATAATCCTATGTTTATCTTTTTTTTTTTTTTTTTTTGAGGAGCTACCAAACTTTTTTCCAAAGAGACTGCACCTTTTACTTTTCCTCCAGCAATTGTATGAATGGTCCAATCACTCCATATTCTTACTAACACCTGTTATTCTCTGTCTTTTTGATTTAGCCATCCTTTTTGATTTAGCCACTTCAAGCTAGTGAGTGTAAAGTAGTATCTTGTGATTTTAGTTTGCATTTCCCTAATGATTAATCATATTGCAGCAACTGGGGAGTCAGGCAATTCATTTATTGCTGCAGGAGCCCCGAGTGGTGCCTTCCGTGACTGCTGTGGTGTCTTAAAGTTACCTTCCTACAACACACTATTGGGAAGTCATCCAGCTGTGGCCTGCATGTCTGCTGGGACTGATTCATCACTGTCCTCGGAGGCGAGCTATTCCGCCTCTGGTTTGGGCCGAGTATTGGGAGGTGTTTCCTCACTTGGAATCTGTATCCCTGTGGATTCTGCACGTTGGTTCTAGTTTGGGTGTGTATATATCTCAGTACCTAACATGAAGAGCAAAAGAAACTACATCTTCTTACCTTCTATCTTTGACTTAATTTTGGTTTCAGGGCCCCATCCCACTGGGAGGGTAGAGAATCTCATCTCAGCCCTCTTGGGGACATTTCTCCCATTCTCCTCCAGAACATGTCAAAGTTATAGGGATTATACGGGTTTTGGGGTAGTTGCTTGTATGGTGCCCTCCTCCTCCTCCTCCTGCTTTTCTTTTTGAGACTCGTCTTCTTTTTTTTACCAGCCTGTAGCCCAGGCTGTAGTGCAGTGGCACCATCATGGCTTACTGCAGCCTTGATCTCCCAGGCTCAAGCTATCTGCCCATTATAGCCTCCCAAGTAGCTGGGACTATAGGCATGAGCCATTGTGCCTGCCTAATTTTTTGTTTTTTTGTAGAAATGACGTTTTGCCAGGTGCGGTGGCTCACACTTATAATCCCAGCACTCTGGGAGGCTGAGGCGGGTAGATCACAGGGTCAAGAGATCGAGACCATCCTGGACAACATGGTGAAACGCCATCTCTCCTAAAAATACGAAAATTAGCTGGCAGTCGTGGCATCCGCCTGTAGTCCTAGCTACTTGGGAGGGTGAGCAGGAGAATTGCTTGAACCTGGGAGGCAGAGGTTGCAGTGAGTGGAGATTGTGTCTCTGCACTGCAGCCTGGTGCCTGGCGACGGAACAAGACTGTGTCTCAAAAAAAAAAAAAAAAAAAAAAACAAACAAGATGTTTTGCCATGTTTTCCAGGCCGGTATTGAACTCCT